CTCCCTGCGAGCGGGCAGCACCGAGTACCTCACCAGAACAGACCCAGGTGAGATCACCAAGCGCTCTGAAGCACCAGCTTAGAGAGAGAAAGGTAGCACGATATGCAACTAAGCACCACTTATCTGTGCACATCAGAAATCAAGGCCCCGTGTAGATATGAGACTATCTAGGTGGACGACAGATAAAAACGGGTGGACATGAAAAGCAAGGCTACCACTCACACGAACGCACAAGTTTTTGCTCTCGTTATGACTATTACTTGTGGATATGCAGAGCAATTATGGAGGCTTTTTTTCCCACCCCTGGCATCTGCAAGCTGTCCTTTCCATCTCTCCAGAGTCGAAACAAGGCGGGGGGAAGCCTCTTGTTCATCCTAGAATTGGGCACATGCTCCTTTATCCCTCAGGAATGCAAATAAATGGTCTGGGAAGCCTCTTTCAGGCAGGCTGTCATTAGTGTCACGGACCTTCTAGCCAATATTAGCTACCAGCCTCCATCTAGTGGCAGAAGGATATTATGCACCAGCACTTTGAGGACCACACCTTGGCATCCCAGGAGAGCAGTCAGGGTATCAGCATATACCTCTGTCTACCAGCATGTTAACAAATGTATTAGCATAACATGCAAAGAGAGAAACTGCTGCTAACAGAGCTATTTTGACAGTCTCAAAGGATAAGCATAACTAAGTTATGTTTACCTGGAGAAAAGTAGTTATCCTCTAATTTCACTCACAGCTCAAAATTGTTCATAGCTGTATTTCGAGGGCTATTGCCAGCCCCTGAAAATCCCACCTGTGTCTTGCATAGGCATTTGGTGATTGCTCCAACTGCCACACTTGGGCATCCCAAGGGAACAATGAGGTTAAACATGAGAATAACACGCAAAGAGAGAAACTGCTATTAACAAAAATACTTTGAGAAATCATCAGCTTATGAGAACACTGATCGTGGTCTGCTCAAAATTAACTAGCCAAAAACACACATCTACATTTCTAAAGCCTGCTTCTCTTTTATACATTTATTGACTTTTACCAAATAAGGGGAAAAAAAAAAAAAAAAAAAAGAAAGAAAAGGCAAACACTCAGACAACCTGACTTTCTCCATACTGTGCAACTTCTTAGTTAATTAACTTTTGCTTCAAAGGCCTGAGCTACTAACATGCTTCTGGAAATACTGAGACGGACCTTCAAATTTATAGCAAACTTTATATTCAAACTTCTGTCTATGTGCCAACTAGATTTCAAGTACAGCAACGTCTGCAGGTATGGGAAAAGTGATACCTGTCACACTTGACTTATTAGCACCACCAAAACTGACCCACCACCAAACCATGACCTGCAAATGCCCTAGGAGCAGGAGTGTCTGAAACAAACCTGTTTGCCAAGCACACATATTAGTTTGGCTAAGCAAAATACTTGCTTGATCCATGTTCATGAAGCGAGCTATAAATGGAAAACCAATTATCCCACTTCCAAAAAAGTGTGATTTCATAATAAAGTGTTAGCACTTTGGTCATGAAACTTAACTTTTACAGCCAACTTGACATTATTACAATGCAATTCATAATTATTCTATATTAAATAAAAAAGAATTTGAAGATTGTAATTCATTAATGCAATTCTACTACCATTAGGATTAACTGATTTTATTCAGCATTGCCAAGAGCAGCTGGGCTTAATAAATAAATAAACAAACTGAAGAAATACAAGTGTTTCATGTTCTCAAACATAAGCACCGAAAGGGTAGTCAAATTGTGGGTCCAGGTGCACTGCTTAGTTCTCAGACCCAGGTGTGCACAACATTTCTCATTCACTTTGGTTTCCACTGAAAGGAGAGATATGAATCCAAATGAAAAAAAAAAAAAAAAAAAAAAAAGCACTGCCTGCATCATAAACTGCAAGATTTAATCAAAAAATCTAAGGCCTGCCAATATTCTTTAAAACCCAAAAGCTCTGCAGAAGCAGACAGACTCACAGCAAGCAACTGCACCATCCATTTTGTCATCTCCTGCAGATAAAAAGGCAAGCCACCTGCTCAACATAATTATGTCAAAACCAGATTATTTCTGTGCACTGAAGCTTTGATGAACTTGGATTTTAAGTCAATTAATCAGAAGTACCATTATGTAACCAGATGGCAAGTGGGACTTTTTTTTTCCCTATTTAATGTATACTATATGATCAAACATTAATAATAATTAAGAAATATGAAAAAACCTGAAAGTTCAAAGCTGTATCAATCAGCGTCACATATTAACAGCTCAATTAGTTCTCAATTAGGCTACAAACGGTAGCTAGAACTCTACAGGAAAGTACATTCAATGGGACCAGAATGAGGGTACGCAGCTGCCTGAGGTGCTTGCCTGCAGATCTCCACCACCTGTACTGCTTCCATGTCAGCAGCCTGCCAGCAACTGTTTCCAATTGCAGAACTATTTTAAAGACTGCTTCCAACCAACACTTCTGGACTCCAGAGCACTGCTTTTACAGACCTCTAGACACTGCCTGCTGACGGTGTTCCTGAGCATGACCTGCAATGCTCTGCTCCAAGGAACAACAGGGCACCCTACCTACTGTGAACCGCCTCCGACCAATTCATGCACCCAAGAGGAACATTTTGCAGAACGCGGGCAGAGCCAAATGTGAACGGATGATGGGCATTTCCATTTGTTTCTGTCAATAGTGGCATTCACGGAGGCAGGAAGCAATACAATACGTGAAAGGCTGGCATTTTGTAAGCAGAGTTCTACTTTTGATCAAGGCATTTATTAAGCTCTAAGAATAATCAACACTAACAAGATGTGTAGGCAACCTTTGCGGTTAAGGCCCTCAGAGGACAAGCTACTGAACAGATATTTGAAATGTTAGCACAATAGAAAGCCAAAACAGAAAAAAATGCCCATAGCTACTAGCCTATAAGAAAATGTCACTTTTGCAGCATTCTTCCTGTGAGGCGAGGCATTTCCCTATTATTAGTGAAAGCAACACTTTAACAAACCAGTGGATGTTCCCCAGCTGCTCTTCTTGATGACATTTAATGTATCTTATGTTTTAGGGAACCAAGAAACATTTCAAGAAATTTGGGAGAAGACACACAGGTGTGGGGAGAAACCCTAACTCTTGAGTTTTAAAACAGCTGTGTGGGATGCAGTTGCTTCACCAAACAAAACACAGCATGCGACCTCAGACAGGCGCTGTGGACACAGAAGGCTGGAACACCACTAACTGAAATGGCAGTGTTAACACACACAAGACCACCTAACATTTATCAACTAACATACCAGAACATTCAAAAATCCTCAGAGTTTTCAGTGTAGAGCTACACTCAGCTACCACAGTTGGCAATGGTAATGTTTAAAGTTTCGGTTTTTGTTTGTTTAAACTGTCCACAGTCCAACCCAATCTTCTGGATATCCAGCTTCAGTTAATTTAATTCAAAGGTATTTTAAGGGAAATATAGACAGTTGATTTTATTTGAAGCACCTTTAAAGATCTGTTCCTCCAGAACCAGAACACAAAGTTCTTCATTAGGTTCAACTGAGAAGAGGCTACAAGCAGTATCAAACGGGCTCAAAGAGCCTGGCTTGGAAGTGTACCAGTAAACACGGCAATGGTTCTGGCTCACTATTTGCCCCAGTATCCATTTTCCTCTTTTCGACCACCTCAAGAAGATTAAGTTGCCTCTATATTCCACACATTGCTTCTACACCCCAGCCCTTGCACTAGCTATACTAGTTAGCCACAAATCCCAATCCAAGGCACTCTAATTTTGATATTATTTCTCTCTTTCCTGTCTAATCAGTGGCACAGGTCGCTTGCCAGAGCTCCCTCCTGCAAAGCCATGATACATGCCTATGCACAGATGTGCATTTACACACCCACAGAGAGATTAAGCTCATCTCACTGCATTTGCTACAGATATGCCAACCACAAGTGCTGACTATCTAGAAGATGCTGTCATCTGAGAAGCTTTCATCTTGAAAGGAATGTTTACACTACCATTATTAATAGAATAAAAAAGCTATTAAGATTTACAGTGTGATATGACTGTATTTATCATATCTTACATTTCAACCACAAGATTAAGAATCTATCCTGCCTACACAACCACAGCATTTTAGGATAAAGCAACAATTCCTTCTACAAGCCTTGCAGTTCTTCATCAATCTGTCCAATTTAACAGCAGTCGACTCTTTGCACACCTCAGAAAGCCAGCACTGATTGGAATGAGAAGTTCAAATGCATAATTTCAGCTGGGTTAAGAACTATTGCAGAGTTTAACAAGAAATTTCAAGATGCTGTATCTGGATACTCCACACATCAAAAAACTAGTTAAAGGTATATGCATTATGCAGAAGAAATAAAACTTAAGAGACATACTTCGCTTAACTGTCTGCTGTTTTTGCCAGGCTGTTGTACAATAGAATGGGTGCAAAAATTGGAATTACATATAGGATGTATCTTCATATAAAAGCTTTATCACAATTACATTATAGATGAGGTGGCTATACTGTGACAGGTAGATAATCTTGAATTATTTCCTTTTGATGGGAATTGGATTAGAAACTCCATATAAAAGGACAGAAAATTCTAGAGTTCAAATAAGATTCTACATGCTATGCTTTACACAGATAAACAAAATGTTCAAAATCTGCTTTCCAGAAGCCAAACTAAAGTTTTATTTTGGGACTGGACAGGAAGCACAAGGGAAGTATTTACTCCCAGTTGACTGCTTTTCTTCTCACATTTATTTCACCCGTGTCAAATTCTCCTTTATAAATCACAGATTTTCATATTTTGCAGTCTACTGCTGGAATCACAAGCACAACAAAAATGTTTCCTTTTATAAAGCACATCTGTTTTTTTCAAGAATTCTTTACAGCTAAAATGTTGTGTAGTACCCCCGATTCTTGAAATCATACTTTTACGTTTAAAGATATATATGGGTAAATGTAGAATGCAATATTTATAAAAACACTTCTTTATATCCAGATATCATACCTGTGTGAAATATTTTCCATCTTGTTTCAAGACTTTCATTGAGAGATCAAGAATCAATCGCAGAAACTCCCATGTGGAATCTGCATATAGAAAATGATTCAAAAAGAAAACACCACATTACTGGCTTTTTCATTATTATGTGTTCAATATTTGCCTGCATCTCCTGTTTGAAAGGTAGCCATATCACGACATAGATGTAAACAAAACCCAATGGCAATGCTAGTGGAAATGACTACTTCTGTTTCAATTTAGCACTATTTCCTGAATATTTTATCAAGTATGGAGTGGGGGAGGTCACGTTAATTTGCATGGCTTGGAGACCTTAACTTTTTAAAAATTTTTTTCTTGAATACTATAAAAAAAAGTATCTGCATTCTCTGCCTCTGAAATTTAGTATTAAAAAAGACAAAAAAAAACAAAATAGCTTTGATGCAAATTGCTGATTAACATGGTATACAGCATAAGAAATGTGCAAAGTCACCAAAAATCTAGGAAAAATAAATTAGAAGATTAACCTTCTTCTGGAGATGTGGAGATTGGAACAGCTGTCAGATCATTAATTACATAATCAAACATTCTTCCTTCTTTGGCATACCTCTTCAGTACGGGAATACAGTCTTCAATTAGAACCTGAAAGCAAGAATACTGTAATTAGTTCCCATAATACGCTAGAACTGACCAAATAAAGAAACAAATACGGGTTTACTGTATCTTACTGTAATTAAGATAAAAAATGGGTTTAACTATAGGTTGCATTTTCAACTTTTTATACCACATAAAGAAGTATAGTTGTGTGAATCACAACAAGCAGAAAGCACCACAGAACTGAACCTCTCAGCTCTGTTTCTGATTGCTGCATGACCCCAAATGGGGAGAAAGTTACTGGTTTCTCCAAGGACCAGTAAACTATGTTATTTGGATGAAGCATCACTGACTCATGCAAGGTAGTATGCAACACCTCTTTATTTTTGCATGCTTTTTTTTCCACTCACACCTGCAAAGTGGTGTTTATGAGACACTTAAGGAACATTAACAAAAACAGAAAGAAAAGACTTCTAGTAAAAAAGTTAAACTGGACCTGCACACAGAGCATGTTAAAACCAAAACTGCAGTCACCTGCTTTTCTTTTATAGTAAGAGTGTAATAACAGATTTTTGATCTCAATTATAAAGCTGTGTATTTTTTTTTTAAAAAAAAAAGGTATCCAAGTACATTCTCAACAGTGCAGGAAAATTTGACTTAAACATTTTTTCTGATACTTCATCAGTTTAAGAACTGATATTCTAAACGCTACATCTTTATTGTTACTTCCTTCTCATTTGTGATGGTAATACACTTTCACATTTCACAACACAAGAACTATACATATATATATACACACCCCCACCTTTATTTATTTATTTAAAGAGTTTGAAGGTTAAGAGTTAAATATTTTGAAGCTAATGTGTACATCACATCCCCAGGGTTAACTACTGATATTTAGAAATGCTTGGGAGGGGATTCTTCCCAAAGTGAAGAAAACCAGATGGCTTCCCCCACAGGAGCCTTCCCCACAGCAGCTTTCCAGGCTAGATCTAGCTGCATTTGAAATGTTCCTTTCAATAAAAACAGAACAAAGGTTACCTGATAGCACTCTCCTTTCAGATTGTCTAAGACATCTCCACATGTTTTACGCATGTATTTTTTACACCCGTCAATCACCATTTGGTCAATGTTTGAAGTTAGTTAAGGAACGTTACATTGCAGAAATTATAAAGGCAGCAAAGTTGTTTTTTTTGTCTCAAAGAGGATAAAATTATAATGGAATAATTGCAACATATATTTCATTATGTATTAAACCCCAGAATCAGTAAGCAGTTTAAGAGCAGCTTGTTTTGGTTTCTAATCTGTATTTCTGGCATCTTATTTTTAGAACTTGAAATATAAACAATAGGATGGTTAGGTTAAAAATAAATAAATAAAGCCAAAGCGGGTTAGACTGCATCTTTAAACAATTATTTTAGTTCCTAGCAAATGCGGGTCCAAAACCTAGGATAATCTAAATTTTAACAGCTAACAGTGCATTTACCTTACAAATTATATTTACACTAGAGAATGCTGAAATCTTGACTTACATCATTATTTCTGTAACAAGTCATCTTCACATGAAAAAAGGCTAGATCATTCTACCACCAATACAATTTACCAAGTCCTGACATTGTTTAAAGTTGTTCTGGTTTTAGTTACAACTCTTTAAAACTCATGAATTAGAAACACAAACCTATGTACTACACGATCACTGTCCAAACATACAGACACAGGCTCTCTCCAAACCGACAAGCAGAAATTTAAATTTAGACTCTACCTCCATATGCAAATTAGTATCAATTTTATCCATGAGGTCCTGTAATACCACTAGAAAAGGCACATTTAATATGTTAAAATGAATTATTTGCCATTTGTCAAAGGATATCTCTACCATAGTGACCATCTTTGGCTTCAGTTTGACTATCTCGTATAGTATACCCCCATCACCACCTCCAAGGATTAGCACTTCTTTCCCAGTGTAGTCTTCTTTTCCGCTGCCCATTATGGCTCGAGTATATGCCAGGTCACTCTCTGCCAGGTCTGATTGGAATGAAGAGAAAGAATTGGACAGAAACATTACATCTTGAATTCTTCTCTTTTTT